AGGTCCTAAGCTAAACCTAGACGACAAAAATCCCAGCAGACTATAGTACCCCCAGTACAGAAAGTTTAGGGATTATAGCGGTTTTTTATGTTGGTTTTCCTGATATGTTTATTATTTCCATCAATGAATTATATATAGACATATGATGCGCTTGAATTAGAACAGTAACACTGAAGGACTTGCTGTCTTCGAAATGCACAATAAAAAGTGTCTCAACTTCGCCTTCAACACATACTGACTTTCCGCCAGAATTTTAATAGTAGTACCTCATTTTTTGCAAAAAGCGCCGCCACCTCCTAAACCTGCCCATTTCCTGTTGACCAGGACGCGAAAATTCGACGTCTGACAAGAGCCAATCACCTCCTGCGTGTGTATCATAAAGGTGCCATCGCATCAAGCATGCGGACGCTACAGGCTGGGCTTGCTGCCGAAAGAGTCCGACCAAAAGAATAGGCATCGTTACCCGGCCACAGCCTGCGCAGATGATCTGGATACACAACCCAGCGGTTTAATCACAACAATAAAAACTCATACCGGAACTGGATTCAAGATGAACACACTGCCCGCCACATCGCTGTCGAAACTTACCTCTAAAAAGCAAATACGCGCAATGAACCCTCAACTCACTACATTCCCTTATAATCTATATCAGAAGACACTGACATAGGCAGTGGACGTGCTTCTCGCATACATGACTTCTCCAAGCACTCCACACACACGCAGCTTTGGAGACGGTGGAGTTGTTGCCGTTGGAGAGGAGAGCTCCCCCTCCCAGACAGAAGAGCGCCAATAATCAGAGTGCTATATTATTACCTCAAGTATTAAACTACGCCATTTTACTGAGAAGTTTTCTAGGTCCAGTGTGTCTGATTCTAGTATAAATATACATACCCTATTAGCATGAGCGATAGTTGAGCTCCGAAATTGCACAATTCTCACATTGCCTATTCCATTGGGAGATTTACACTCCTGCACTAGAGACAGGCAGCAGACATAATAGTGATCGAGCCCGGATGCGCTACATTGTCTATGCTCACGTATACGCCTGAACGAGGGGAGTAGTGGGGACCAAAGAACCTACCTGACGTGAGTTGCTGTGCTCCTACCAGTTTTGTCCGATATACCGGTCATCTTTGACTCACCGTATTTTTTTTGAGCACCGATTGGCACGATAGCGACCACCGATTTAAGATATACAGTAGCAATTGCTACTCGTATCTCAATAGCTGCACTAGCCCCAACAGATCATTCTTAGGAACAGGACGGACTCTACATTCAGCCAACTACTCTCTTTTTCCTCGCTCTCATCTCCTAGTTGACTCATGTGTTGACGCCAGACCCGATCTAATGAATATCTTCGCTCCCTTTCCTGAAAGCATCTGCTCTTCACTAATCTCGATCAGTCACATGCCTTTCTTATTCTTCTAGTGGTCGTTTTTTGTTTTTTGTACTGTTTCTTAAAAGTAGCTCAATTTGCCTCGAAGCGTCAGGAGCCGAGGAGAAAGTAGGATTAAAAGTCAGGCCCTTGCACACCTTCGAAATCATAAGTCAGGAGTAGAGTCATGCCCAACTACTAACTGTTCACATCTAGGAACGAGAGGTAATATACTTGAAGAGAAGTGAAGTGTAAGCTATATCACGTAAATCCTATAAAAATAGATAACTATGAATCAGAGTATACTAAGAATCATGACACCAAACTCTCTGCCAAATAAACATTCCAATAATAGAGAAGCTATACTGCCAGGATAACATGACCTACTTCACCTACTCCCTTAAGGACCATGGCCATACTCCTCCCACCTCTGCCTGCCAGATGCCTGACAGTTGAGGCTCATAGCGAGAGCATAGATCTGTAAATGGCCACGATAGCCAACTCATCTCTGCTTCAATCGTCATGTAGTAACTTACTGAAAGTAAAATGGGAAGCAAACGAGTGTCGGCTCTCGTTACGCTTTAAAACGAAGTCGAGATAGGTTCCGCGTCATCGAGTCGCATGTTGTCCGTTTAGTATTCGTAGTCTAATGTGCACGTAGTTCGGCTAACCTTTAGCGTGTACACATACACGGCAGGTTCATGCCCTATGTCCACAGGCGCCATAGGCTCCGACGGCATGCAAGTGAGCACCATCAAAGTCATACGCGACCCCTATCGCCTTATAGAACACCACCAGGCAGGAAGCCTCCGACACTACGCGCCCCTGCCAATAGGAGATATTGCAGAACAGCAGTTTAAAAAGCTTTAAAAGCAAAAATTCCGACATGCTGAGCAGCCGAACATCGTCATGTAATTGAGTGACGTAAAGCGACTCGAACAACATTGGTATTACTTCAAAGGACACGACAAGTCTCTTACAGTCAGATGTTAATATTAAATTCAACAATACAGGTTAGCATTCTATAAACATCTAAGCAGAAAAATAAACCCCTGCACAATAGACTCGAATATACAACACTATTTTACTCCACCGTTCGGGAAGACACTGTACACCTAGCGGGTAGTGGACCTCCATGAGCTTTTTTTTCATCACACAGCTACACCCAAGGTGAGCCTCTGTCCACGATCCCAAAAAGCTGTGCGCGTTAGGCCAGCTGAGGATGTGTCTACATGGGCCCAGTCTGAGTGAGTGTCAGTGGCTCTCCGATAGGATGGTGTTGTCTGTCCAGGACTGGTCCCGCCTTGCACCCTGAGCTGCCTGGTGGCTCTGGCCACCCCTACCAGAGACCCCAAACTGCAGTAAGTGGGTTGGACAATGAATGAATGAATACAAAGTGTTGTGAAGTAAAAATCTGTCTAGTCTATGATAACTACACAAATGAATGGCGATAAACCATGTGGTGAGGAGGCAGTCAGGAAGCCTGCCCTATTTGTGGTTTTTTTTTTTTTTTTTTTTTTTTTTTTGAGACAGTCTTGCTCTGTCACCAGATTGGAGTACAGTGGTGCAATCTCAGCTCACTGCAATCTCTACCTCCCAAGTTGAAGTGATTCTCCTGCCTCAGCCTCCTGAGTAGCTGGGACTGCAGGCACATGCCACCATGCCCAGCTAATTTTTCTATTTTTGGTAGAGACAGGGTTTCATCATGTTGGCCAGGATGGTCTCGATCTTTTGATCTTATGATTCACCTACCTAGGCCTCCTGAAGTGCTGGGATTACAGGCATGAGCCACCACACTCAGCCTGTGATTGTTTTTGAACTTCATGGTAGTGAGAGGTGTTTCTTACCATTTTTGCTTTGCAAACGTTTATTCCCTGAATTAACCCACCACTTATTATGACTACCATCACTCACTTATTCTCCAAAAATTGTGTAAATATGATGTTTGTCTTTATTAATCTTTCTTAAATATATGTATAGCTCACATTTCTTTCAACATTGAATATTAGAAGTGTTTTGGGTCTTTAAAAGTTTGCTGATGTTTTTATGACTAGAAATATTGCCACAGGAACTTCACTTTTTTTTTTTTTTTTTTTGAGATGGAGCCTCACTCTGCCACCCACCCAGGCTAGAGTGCAGTGGCGCGATCTCGGCTTGCAACCTCTGCCTCCAAGGTTCAAACATTTCTCGTGCTTACCTGCATGCACCACCACACCTGGCTAATTTTTGTGTTTTTATTAGACACAGGGTTTCACCATGTTGGCCGGGCTGGTATCGAACTCCTGACCTCAGGTGATCCACTGCCTCAGCCTCTCCAAGTGCTGGGATTACAGACAGGAGCCACCTCGCCTGGTAAACTCTTGTCTATATCAATTAGCTGATGGTAAAATTGGTTTCGTCATACATCATTTCACTTACAGGTGCAGTTTCTAAGAACCGATTTTTTCCAGGCATGCTGTTAAGTGGAGGATTAGGCTGTATCTATTCCGGTAAAGTAAATTGTTCAAATGTTTCAGGCCTCAAAAATTCTGGCTTGGCTCCACCACTTACTAGCTGAGTGGCCTTAGACTATCCATGCTTTGGTTTTCTTATCTGTACCATAGAGATAATATTAATACTAACCATAGGGTGGTTATGGTTATGGCATTCAGTAGAAGAATGCATAGAAAGCATGGAGACAATGGAAGACATTAAACTCTTGGTAATTGTTAGCTGTTCTTATATTGGAATCGATTTTTTGTTTTTGTTTTTAACTAAGCATGCAGCTAGATAATGGTTTCACTTTGGTACAACCTTTTTGTTTTTGGACTGTGAGCTAGGTGGTATAGCTGAGGTTTCTGAAGAAACCATTCAAAAAGAAACCAAATACTGTCAGGGAATCAGAGGCGAAACCGCTGATCTGACTGGCTTGCAAGAACAAAGCCCGCCCCTCCTTCAGAGCCAGAGCCTGGCCTTACTTCTCTTTGTATCTCTTCTACCCCCATCCCCTAAAGGAGAGTCTGGCACGCCGCAGGCACTGAAATGTCTGAGGAAGAACAATCCTTGGCTATGTGTAGGTCTTAATACCAGCAGGCTGGCCTGTCCTCTGGCACCCCAGTATCTGCTTAATCATGAAATATAAGTACTAATTCTGATAAGGCTGCCCACACAAAGGACCTCAAATAGTGTGCTTTCCTGGGGTATTAGGGCTGAATATGAGGTTTGAAAGCTTCTTTCTCACAACATCTAGATCCTGCTTCCCAGTAAGTGGCCTTTCTGCCTTCTCCTCTACAAAGCAGACTCCAATTCTCTGGCACCAACAGAGGTAAACATTTCTTAACTGTGTGGCTCCCTCCATCCCTTCAGCAGTCAATCAGTTGCCTGGGCTGAAAGGAAACCCCGCACCGGTGGAGTTTCCTGTGCAGACCCTGGGGAAATTTCTGCAGTTTCGAGTTCTCAGGTTTAGGTGACTTTGATCTTTCTCCAGTTGCTTTATTCTCTGAGGGCCTCGTCTAGAATCCCCAGGGGTATTGCTAGGAGGAAGTCACTCCACTCTGGTGATAACGTTTTTCCTTGGGGAAGACCTGTTGTCCCGGGGGGATTTCCCCCAGGCTGTGCCCGGCGTGGGCACGCCACTCCTGGTTACCTGGCAGGCGTCGTGCAGGTTCGCCTGGGGCCCACCGCTCCGAGTGTCTCCAGCACACAGCATGTTGCTGGTGACCGTTCTGTTAAATAAATGTTGGGATGTGCAGCGGCTGGCTGGGTACAGTCTGACATGAGCCTCCTTCAGCCGCTCCGAATAGAAAGGAGAAGCTGAAAAGGGAGAACCAACATATGGTTTTAGGGAAAGTTATTTATAAACCTTTTAGAAAGAGAAAGTCAAATTTTCCAATAATAGCTAACATCAATCAAGATTCAACATGTGTTAGGTCGAATCCCATGACATTGCTGGCATTTTATTGTTTTGAACCACAAAAACAGCAGGATTCCAGGATTGAACCTGTGGCCTCTCTGTAGTGGCACGGATGCTTCTGGCCAGGCAGATCCCTGTTGTGGGGGAGGGCACAGCCCTGCATCCCTGGCTGCACTCACCGAAGGCCGGTGTCAACCCTCAGCCTGAGCTGTAACAACCAAAAACGTCTCCAGACCTCACCAAACGTTTCCTCGGGGGGGGGGGGGGGACACCCCGGCTGACAACCATTCATTCAGTATTATGTCATTTAACACTCCTCATCTAATTAGGGAGCTAGTTCTGTTTCCACTTTTCCAATGAGGAAACTGAGGCTGGGAGCAGTTCCAAGTAAAAATCCACGTCCACGGTCACACAGCTCAGCAAGTGGGATTTGAAATCGCGTCTATACAACTTCAGCTTCCCAGAACTCACATGCTTGGTGACCATACTTCCTACTCAGAACCTTCCCAACACCTGCAGCACTTCGAGGCCCTCGTGCTGTTATGCCCTTTCCTGGCCTGCAGTGTCCCGGGGAGGCAGGGACAACAGAGACGGGCCCCCATGGCACCGGGAGATGGGACTGGCATCAGTGCCTGACCCGGGGCTGGAACGTCGCTCTCTTGACCGCGTTTTCCTCTGGTCCGCCGCAGCCTCCCCTGCTGTCCCACAGACAGGATGGGGACCGAGACTTCCTCCCACTTACTGGCCTCATGCTTGCCATAGCCAGACAGCTCACACTCCGTCCAGTCGGGCAGCTGCAGGTCAGCCGCCGGGAGGCACACGGTGCGGACCACGTTGCTCTCCTGGGCACAGTGGGACGAATCCGACTTCAGCCGCAGCAGCGCTGGGAGGGAGAGAGGAAGAGTGAGCTGGGTGTGAGGGCTGCGGCCCCGTGGGAGATGAGGAACACACAAGAGGGGCAGGGGCTGGAGGAGGAGGCCCGTGTGTGCAAACACAGGTGAGTGCCCGCGGGTGTGTTGTGTGATCTGGAGTATGAACCGGAGCCGGGAATGACAACCTCTTACCAATGTCATTGTCGTAAGTGTCATCATCGAATTCCTTATGGACAATGTATTTTTCTACTTCAAATTTCTGCTCCTCCTCACCAGGGACCACCCGGTAGGTTCTGCCCAAGATCACCGTCAGGTGGTGGGGCGGAAACCTGGTAGAGAAACAGCCTTAGAATGCTATTTTCGCTGTGGGATTTCCCCTAAAGGATTTCATTTCTAGGCCTTAGAGGGTGGAAAAACCCACTGCGTTCCTGAGCTCCTACCTCTCCTGGAAGCAGTGGGCGGCGGAGAGAATCCAGCAGGAGCTGATGAGGATGCCCCCGCACAGGAACCGCTCTCCCGGCGACCTCCTGTACTTGGCGAAGATGGCAGCCTGCCAGGGGTGGGAGGCGATGTCGGCAAAGAGCCCTCCTTTGATGCGGAACTGAGGCTGGTTGTACTGTCTCAGGCCACAGGTGGCTGGGGAGGAAGGGACAAGGAGGCCGTCAGACCCTCAGGCTTCCTGCACATGTAGGTAGAATGATGGGGCCGTCTGCATGGCACTAAAACCACCACTTTCACTTGTTGGGATCAGCCTGCCAAGTGTTGTCCATACATTCTCTTTAATTCCCACAGCAATGAGTTTCAGGAGGCGGAGGCATTTTTGCCCAAGGATGCAATGGCACCTGGGTTGGTGCCCAAGTGTGTTTGACTCCAAAACTGGGGACCTGCCATCCTTCATTCCTCTTAATGTTTTCCTACAGTCATTTCCTTGCCTAAGAAATAAAGGATGGCAAGCCGGGCACGGTGGCTCAAGCCTGTAATCCCAGCACTTTGGGAGGCCGAGGCGGGTGGATCACGAGGTCGAGAGATCGAGACCATCCTGATCAACATGGTGAAACCCCGTCTCTACTAAAAATACAAAAATTAGCTGGGCATGGTGGCGTGGCCTGTAGTCCCAGCTACTCAGGAGGCTGAGGCAGGAGAATTGCTTGAACCCAGGAGGCGGAGGTTGCGGTGAGCCGAGATCGCGCCATAGCACTCCAGCCTGGGTAACAAGAGTGAAACCCCGTCTCAAAACAAAAAAAAAAAAAAAGAGAGAGAGAGAGAGCGGGGTAGAGCCTACTGACTTCTCAGCGAGGTTGCAGTGTTCTTTTCTTTCTTCTTGCTCCTCCCCACCACTCCCATGTGTGGGATGAGGATACCTGCCCACCCACCATGGCTTCAGTCATGGAAGACCCCACCCCACCAAGCCTGGAAGTCTGGTAGGCACACAGTCGGCACCAGACGGCCACGAAGGCCTAGAAAGTGGTAAGGAGACAGCGAAGAAGGGAGACCAGGAGCAGGGAGGCGGCCGGGGCCCGGCTCTTACAGCACGAGGGCATATCACAGTACTCCCACGTCAGCCAGCGGTTCTTCAGCACATGGCACCAGGGCTTGGTATCCCCATCAGGATTCCTAAATGATAAGAGAATTTAAGATTTCCTTTTTATCTTCTTATTTTTTATTTTTTTGTAGAGATGGGATCTTGCCGTGTTGCCCAGGCTGGTCTTGAACTCTTAGGCTCCAGCGATCTTCCTGCCTCAGCCTCCCAAAGTGCTGGGATTACAGGCATGCGCCACCATACCAGGCCAGGAGTTTAAGTTTTCAATCCCATTTTCAGTCGCATCACAGGCCATGGAAGAGTAGAAGGAGCCTCGGTAAACCGATGGAAACCACTGAGCTGGGAGGGAGGACCCCGAGCTCAACTTGACTCTGTGGCACACCCCCACTCTAGGAGAACGTCTCTGCAACTTTGTTATTCAACCAGTAATCTAGAGTATTAATCTCATAGGGTTGGTGGACAGAACTGTGAGCTCTTCTGCTACGGAACTCTCACAAATCATTGGAATAAAGATGTGGTGAGAACAGACGAGGACTGAATGGTTACAGGCCAGGACCCTTAACTTGGGATTTGGGTTGGAAAACTGGCTCGCCTTGCTTTTCACAGTAAGTGTTTTTTTAGCAAATGAAGAGGCTGGACTACGTAATATCCATGGGTGTGTCCCATGCACTGGGTCTGTCGTACAACTTGAGGCATGGACTCTTCCCCCATCTCACACCCTAATCCCGCTTTCTGCCAAGTCCTGAACCCCCTGCCCCATGCTACCTACCGGCAGAAATTATGTTTGCCCAGGCCCAGTGCCTGGGCATTGGGGTTGTATGCCGTGTAAACCTTGTCTATCAGGATCATGGAATTCCACGGGAGGCAGGAGGCACCCGATGTGGTGAGGCTGTGGGTGCCACGGTAGGCTAACCCTTTCCCAAAGTAGCAGTCACCATTTTCTCCTGGAAGAAAAGAATTCTCAAACTCAAACAAAAACAAATTCTGAAGCAGGCAAGTCGGGGCTGGGGCTTCAAGTGGAGCAGCCAGCCAGGGAAGCTGGAGGCTGCTAGCCCGGTACTGAGAAAAGTGTAACACCTCACACTTCCCCTTTTCTTGCCCAGGCTGGAGTGCAATGCGCGATCTCGGCTCACGGCAACCTCTACCTCCTGGGTTCAAGTGATTCTCCTGCCTCCGTCTCCCGAGTAGCTGAGATTATAGGCATGCACCACCATGATCAGCTAATTTTGTATTTTTAGTTGCAATGGGGTTCCACCATGTTGATCAGGCTGGTCTTGAACTCCTGACCTCAGGTGATCCACCCACCTCAGCCTCCCAAAATGCTGAGATTACAGGTGTGAACCACCACACCCAGCCTTTTTCCACTTCTTTGAGTCCTTTTAAGAGAGACGGCAAGGGGGGTTCATCTCCACTGGAAGTGGCTCTCTAGATCACTCGCTGTGTTGCGAGAGAGTTAGGGGCATCTTCAGGTTCAGCAGGAAGGCTGCTATGCTCCTTGAGTGGGGACTGTTTCTGGATCTGCTCTGAAAGCTGTTAGAGATTTCTTTGTGTAGACTTGACAGGCCGCAGTGAACCAAAGTGCTTCGGTGGGGCTGGGGTGGGGGTTATTTCTCAGATTGTGTCTGCCAGTGTCCTGAGGATCGGATGATGGGCTTAGAAAGGAGGAGGGTATGAGCCGTAGAGTGCTGCCTGTTTTCATCAATTTCTCCCATTTTCCCATTGTTTTCTCCCCATCTGAAACTGACAAAGCCTACCTCTATACATAAACACCATAAATGGAAGGGATTTTTAAGATTATCTAGCTCTGTGAGACCTCATTTAGACCAGACCATGGGTGATGGAGAGGATGCTTTAGAGTGACATAACGTCTTAGCCCCATGGACCCATGCACTGAATGATAGCTGCTGCGTGTGTGTGTGTGTGTGTGTGTGTGTGTGTGTGTGTGTGTGTTAGACATATACATATAAATTATATATATATACATATATACATTTAATATACATGTCTAACATATAACATACACACACACACACCCCCACACATATTTACGTATTCATTTTGAGATCGGATCTCACTGTCACCCAGGCTGGAGTGCAGTGGCACAATCATTGCTTACCAAAGCCTCAACCTCCCGGGCTCAAGCCGTCCTCCCACCTCAGCCTCCCAAGCAGCTGGGATCATAGGCACATGCCACCACACCTGGCTAATTTTTGTATTTTTCAAAGAGATGGAGTCTCACTTTGTTTCCCAGGCTGGTCTCAAAATCCTGGGCTCAAGCAATTCTCCCGCCTCAGTCTCCCAAAGTACTGGGATTACAGACATGAGCCATGGCACCTGGCCCTATATATGTTTAGAACTTTAAAAAGCATCTTTCATAGTGCTGTGATAAATAATGTAATGATTTGTAAAAGTACCACTGAATCCATAGTGCCTTTTTGTAACTTAACATTTTTTTACTTTCTTTTTTTTTAAACAGTTTTTTGTTCTATAGCCCAGGCTGGAGTGCAGTGGCGTGATCTCAGCTCACTGCAACCTCTGCTCCTTTCAAGCAATTCTCCTGCCTCAGCCTCCTGAGTAGCTGGGGCTACAGGTGCCCACCAACATGCCCAGCTAATTTTTTGTATTTTTAGCAGAGATGGGGTTTCCCCATGTTGGCCAGGCTGGTCTCGAACTCCTGACCTCAGGTGATCTGCTTGCCTCAGCCTCCCGAAGTGCTGGGATTACAGGCATAAGCCACTGTACTTGGCCTTGTAACTTAATATATTTTTTTCCATCTGGGAAGTTTTTTTTTTTTTTTTTTTTTTTTCATTAAAAGGTTTGAGAGGGAGTGAAAGAGAGAAAGGCCCATTCACCCATTAATCAAAGAAGGGAGAATCTCCATTTATTCTCAAAAGGACTGAAAACCACTGAATCCGCCCATCCTCTCCTCCACGGAGGAGGAAACTGAGGGTCAGAGGGCGACTCCAGGTCAGACAAATAGCCAATCAGAGGCCAAGCCGAGGCACAGCCCTAAGTCCTGCCTTTCTTCCCTCTGCAACCAAAATGACTCACTCCTTGCCTCCCGCTTCTCCCCTCAGACTCAAGAGGGCTGTCAGCCTGTCTTCCCAGACCCTCCTCCCTCAGGGGCACTCAGGGGAAGGTGGGGTGGCTGCCGCTTACCCTTGGAGCAGGCGGGGGTGCTGCAGAACTCCGAGCTGTACTTTCCTGCCTTGAAGACATAGCACCAGGGCTTTGAGTCTCTGTCCGGGTTTCTGAAAAATTAGCCCCAGGATGACCAGGGTAGGTCAATGGTGAAGCCTCTCATCTGGGACCCAAGGACTCTTATATCCTCTTCTTGGGGAATGGGGAGTGCTTTTTCTGTTTTGTTTTGTTTGTTTTGTTTTGTTTTGTTTTGTTTGAGATAGAGTCTTGCTGTGTCTCCCAGGCTGGAGTGCAGTGGCACGATCTCGATCTCAGCTCACTGCAATCTCTACCTCCTGGGTTTGGGCAATGCTCCAGCCTCAGCCTCCAGAGTGGCTGGGATTACAGGTGCCCCCCACCAGGCCTGGCTAAGTTTTGTATTTTTGGTAGAGACAGGTTTTCACCATGTTGGCCAGGCTGGTCTCGAATTCCTGACCTCAGGTGATTCGCCCACCTTGGCCTCCCAAAGTGCTGAGATTACAGGCGTGAGCCACTGTGCCCAGGCAGGAGTGCATTTTTGGTTGTACACTGGTACTTGTAGCGTGTTAGGCAGGAGTATGACTTCATTCCTATGTTTACTTGGAGGTGGTGTGGTTTAAAGAGATGCCCATGGGTGCCAAGTTGACAAGGTGTGGACTGGCACAGTCTTACGTGCCAAACTTGACCAGGCTGTGGTACCCAGTTCGTTAATTAAACATTCATCTAAGAGCTGTCTAAGTATTTTATAGATGTGTTTAACACCTACAGCCAGTTGACTTTAGAAAAGGAAATTGTCCTAGATAACGTAGTTGGGCCTCATCCAATCACTTAAAGGCCTTAAGAGCAAATACGAGGTTTCCTGAATGAGAAATTCTGCCTTAAGACAGCAGCCTCAGCTCCTGCCTGTGTTTCCAGCCTGGCTGACCTACACATTTCAGACTTGCCAGCCCCCACGATCCTGTCAGCCAGGTCCATAACATAAATGTCTTTCTATCTATCCAGTGTGAAAGAAAAATAAAGCTCAGGATCCCAACATCGCTAAGCCAAGGGAAATGTCAGGCTGGGAACCACGCCAGGCAAACCTGCCTCCCATTTTCTTCCTCAATAAGATAGCTACAAAGATTTTTATTAAAAAATTCCCTACAAGGAAATTCCCTGCGGACCTGAAGATCTTTACCCTAAAACAGTTCTGTTGCATTTCACCCTGGCGATGTAAAGGGACTGAAAGTCACCCCTCTCCCACCTGAGACCAGTGCATATCTGATTGCTTCCTCTGCCCTATCGTTTACGTTAAAATGCAGATCAACTGAGCCAGACTGAATTGTGTTCAGTGAAAAGCTCATTAAGGACTCAGAATGCAGCCTTTTGTCTCTTATCTACCTATGACCTGGAAGCCCCTGCTTTGAGCAGTCCCACCTTTCCAGACCAAACCCATGTACATCTTACACATGTTGATTGATGTCTCATGACTCCCTAAAATGTGTAAAAGCAAGCTGCGCCCTGACAGCCTTGGGTACGTGTCTTCAGGACCTTCTGAGGCTGTGTCACCGGCATGTCCTTAACCTTGGCAAAATCAGCTTTCTAAATTGATTGAGACCTGTCTCAGATACTTTGGTTCACATGCACTCTCTCTCTCTCTCTATCATCTGTCTATCGTCTATTTATCATCTATGTATCTAACATCTATTTATCTAATCTATCATCTATCCATCAATCATCTATCATCTGTCAATCTATCATCTATCCATCAATCATCTATCACCTGTCAATCTATCATCTATCCATCAATCATCTATCACCTGTCAATCTATCATCTATCCATCAATCATCTATCACCTGTCAATCTATCATCTATCCATCAATCATCTATCACCTGTCAATCTATCATCTATCCATCAATCATCTATCACCTGTCAATCTATCATCTATCCATCAATCATCTATCACCTGTCAATCTATCATCTATCCATCAATTATCTATCATCTGTCAATCTATCCATCTATCTTCTATTTCTTATCCATCCATCTATCTATCCATCTATCTATCTATCCATCTATCATCCATCCATCCTGTATTGGTTCTGTTTCTCGGGAGAACCCTGACGGATCTCATAGAATCTTTCCCTAGCCATAGCAGCTTCTCACCAGGGGAACCCTCTTCGGGATCATGCCCTTACCTGCAGTAGTTGTGGTTCCCCAGGCCCAGCCTGATGGCGTCCGGCCTCCGCCCGCTGTAGGGCTTCTGGGCCAGCGCGCTGCTGTTCCAGTTGGTGCACTCAGCGCCGCTCTCTGCTGTGCTCCAGGTGCCCCTGTAGCTGATGCCCTCGTCCTTGTAGCACGTGGCCTTGGTATCTGACGGAGAGCAGGGCACAGATGCTTCACATGGGAATCCCCTTCATTCAGCCCTCAGGGGGCTTCCCCTCTTCCCTGTCATCCCCCAGGCCTGATGTAGGCTGGCTGGAAAGCCACAGACTAGTGGCAGAGGTGCCAGCCTGGTTCCAGGGTCACACCCGGGCTCTGCCTGCTGCCTGGCACTGTGCTTCCCGAACCACGTCAGAAGCGCCTTCCCTGTCCCTGGCCCCCCACCATGGCCCTGCCATCGCACCCTGCCTTTCCTTCCTGGAGGGCTGGCGAGGTGGCATTTCAGACCCTCTCACGTGCTCCCACCTACTCACCTATTTCACATTGCTTCCCAGTAAATCCTTCGGGGCACTGGCACACGAAATCTGAGAAGTACAGGGCCTGCTGGCAGGTGCCCCCATTAAAACACCTCGGCTCGCTGCAACCTGTCAAGTATGAGCAAGGAAGCCCTAGTGTGTCGCCTCCCTCTGTGTGCATGGGCTGCAGGTTCCAGGAGCCCTGTCCACACAATCCACATGCACACAAGTCCCGCAGCGTGGAACACGCGTCTACCAGTTCCGCATCCTACAAATACTGCTTTCATCCTGCCTTTGGTTGAAAAAAGTTCATACATAAGTGGACCCTGCAGGTCAGACAAGTGTTGTTCAAGGGTCCACTGTACCCTCGAAGCAGCTCCAAGGATGATGTGAGTTAAAGTGTTGAGCGTGTGCTCTATGTGCCAGGCACTGTTGGACAGTCTACAAAAATCAGCTCATTTAATCCTCACGGCAAACCATGAAGTGTGCACTATTATTTCCGCCACTTTAGAGATGAGGAAACCGAGGCAAGTGGGCATTTGCCCAAGGTCTCTCGGTCTCACTCCCTTTTCTTCTCGTTCACCTCCGCCTAAGGCCGAACGGGCCTGGAAGCTCCTTTTGAAGATCTGAACTTGCTGGGGACCATGGAAGACAGGGTTCAGGCTCCTGAAACTGGACCCCTGAATGCAAAGTCTCAGCTTAAAGTCCATTCGGACTGGGCTTTTTTGGGGTTTTGTTTTTCTTTGTTTGTGTTGTTTTGTTTTGGAGATGGAGCTTGCTCTGTCACCTAGGCTGAAGTGCAGTGGCACAATCATAACTTACTGCAGCCTCCAACTCCTGGGCTCAAGTGGTCCTTCTGCCTCAGCCTCCCAAGTAGCTGGAACTACAGGTGAGCCCCACCAGGCCTAGCTAATTTTTTATTTTTGTAGAGGCAGGGGACTTGCTCTGTTGCCCAGGTTGGTCTTGAACTCCTGGACTCCAGCAGTCCTCTCATCCTGGCCTCCTAAAGTGCTGGGATCATAGGCATGCGCCACCTCCCAGCGTCAGTACGTACTTTTGATGGGCACGGAGTGGCACTGTGCCCTGCCGCTGTTGCACCAGCAATATTCTACCCGGTTGCTTCTGATCACGGGGCGCAGCCATGACTCGTGCTGCTGGTATATCATCTGCGTTTTCTCATCTCTGCAGAGCGCTGTGAGAAAAGACAGGCCAGCCTCATCAGAGTATGACTCAAAATGAAATGACTCACTGTCCCTGGACCTACCAGGAAAACTCCCTCGCTTGCTTTCCATAGACACCATTGCATACTACTTTTTTGAAGAGAGGCAACTGGAAGACAACAAGATAATGAATACTGCCCAGGCACTGTGGCTCATGCCTATAGTCCAGGCACTTTGGGAGGCTGAGGCCAGTGGATCACTTGAGGTCAGCAGTTCGAGACCAGCCTGACCAACATGGTGAAACCTCATCTCTACTAAAAATACAAAAATTAGCCAGGCTTGGTGGCAGGTGCCTGTAATCCCAGCTACTCAGGAGACTGAGGCAGGAGAATCACTTGAACCCAGGAGGTAGAGGTCGCAGTGAGCTGAGATTGCACCATTGCACTCCAGCCTGGGTGACAGGGCAAGACTCTGTCTCAAAATAAAATAAAATAAATTTGCATTTCTTTTCTGAGTGCCATCGAGTAACTTCTCATATGATTTGTTTATTTATTTTTATTTATTTGAGACAAAGTTTAGCTCTGCCACCCAGGCTGGAGTGCAGTGGCATGATCTTGGCTTACCGCAACCTCCACCTCCTAGGTTCAAGTGATTCTCCTTCCTCAGCTGCCCAAGTAGCTGGGATTATAGAAATCTGCCACTGCACCTGGTTACTTTTTATATTTTTAGTAGAGATGGGATTTCACCACGTTGGCCAGGCTGGTCTCAAACTCCTGACCTCAAGTAATCCGACCACCTCAGCTTCCCAAAGTGCTGGGATTACAGGCATGAGCCACCATGCCCAGCCTAATTTTTCATTTTATTTTCTTTCTTTTTTTTTTGAGGGTCTCTGTCACTCAGGTTGGGGTATAGGGTGTGAATCTCGGCTCATTGCAGCCTCCGCCTATGAGGCTCAAGCAATCCTCCTGCCTCAACCTCCCAAGTAGCTGGGAGTGCAGGTACGCACCACCACATCCAGCTAATTTTTAAATTTTTTTTGTAGAGGTGGGGGGGGTAGGGGAGTTGAGGGGGGGTCTCACTATGTTGCCCAGGCTAGTCTTGAACTCCTGGGCTCAAGCCGTCCTCCTGAATCAGCCTCCCAAAGTACTGGAGTTAAAGATGTGAGCCATTACACCTGGACTTTTTCTCATTGGAATCCATCAAAATGTATGTATGTGTGTATACATATATATATATATATATATATATATATATATATATATGCATAACTGCCTACCAGAGTTTTTGTTCCACATTAAGTATTACCACACAGAAATGATGCATTTTTGGCTCCAAACAAAGAAAATTGACATTTTAGTCTTTGCAGAAAATGTGCCACTTCTCCAACTGTATTTGGCATAATGAAAATAGTTGAAGTACTCCCGTTAATATTCTCATGCCATCTTTCTGTTTCAAGCCAGAATGCCAACTTTAAAAACAACTTTACTTTCAATTAATTAAAGAAGTCACATGTCCTCACTGTAAGTCAGACCCTTGCGGCTTCTGAGGTCGCTGAGGCCCGGATATCCTAGCAGGAAGCATGGGGCCATCCAACAACGAAGGCGTTAGGCGTCCAGGTGTGGCTCACTCTGGGGAGTCAGTCACCCTTTTTAACACCTTTACGAAGGGTATTGTGAAGTCTTCCGGAACCGAAAGAACTGGGCGGTGAAGGAGGGAAAATGAGGGTCTAGGCTGAAAGTTTTGGGCCTGAAGCTGAGCCTCGCATTCCTCAGCCTCCTAGAGTCAACTCTAGACGTGGACTTAGAGACCCCACCACGTCTGGGGGTTGCCCAGGTGGGACATCCCTGTTGGATCAGCAGAAGGAAATGGAGCTGCGGGGATGCTGTCAGCAAAGCTGCCGGTGCACTTTGGTGGGATCACAGCCTAGGACGGGACCCAGAGTGTGGGGTTGGCTGCGGCCATGACTGCCCTGGCCCTGCTGCTGGAGGCTGCATGGCCCCGGGCAAGCTGCACTCTCTCCTGGCATCTGCCTTCTAATCTGCGTAACCAGGACCTCAGGCCAGTGACCAGCCACCCCCCCCACCAGCTTGTGATCCCTGACAAGCTAGCTCCTTGGGGGCTCCTTGGACACCTGTTTCTGCCCCCGTCAGAATCAGAACCCCAGCGGCCACAGCTGAAGGGAGAATGGTGCCGACACAGGCATGTCTGTAAAATTACGCTGTGATGGCACTGTCACACCGTAGGCAGGTGGCAGGTGGAGGAAGGCCTCACAGGACCCGATGCACCCTGCACCCACCCTGCCTCCTGCCCCTATGACCCCATGCACCAACCTCGGTAAGATCTGGCTCCTCTTCTGAATCGGGCATGAATTTCCTGCAAAGAAACCAGGGGTAGAGGAAGGATCAGTACATGCCAGGCATCCTAAGAGTAAAAGCGGAACCCAGAAGCCCACATGAATCTGCCAGCCAGATGCCCTAGCTCAGAGACCCGCCTCGGGTAACTGGCCCAAGTGAGCGTCCATCTCCTGCCTTCTGGTCCAATTCTTCCTCTCCTTCTTAACTGGCACAGTCCAGAAGAGCTTTCTGCATGGTGGAAATGTTTTCTGTGTGTGCTATCCATGACAGAAGCCACACAAGGCCACCGAGTGCTGGAATGTGGCCAGTGGGACTGAGAAACAATTTTTAACTTTAATTATTTTAAATTCAAACAGCTACAGGTGGTCAGTGGCCATCACATTGAGCAGTGGGGTTGTGGCTGCCTGTCTATTCCATGTAGTCACCTGGGCTCTCCCCGTTCTAGGGTTCTGTGGCAGAGGTGGGGCTAGTTGAGTCTTCCGTGAGGCCCTTTACTGCCAGGCATTCTGAGAGTGTGTGCAGCGCTTCCATCTCAGCTAGATAGTACGCACCATGAGTGCAGCTTGCCTGCTGCTGTGGCCATGACACTTGCATTGCCTTTTTTTTTGGAGACAGGGTCTCAGTTTGTCACCCAGGCTGGAATGCATTGGGGCAATCGTATCTCACTAAAGTCAATCTCCTGGGCTTAAGCAATCCTCCCACCTCAGCCTCCCAAGTAGCTGGGACCACAAGTGCATGCTTCTACACCCCCAAATTTTTAAATTTTTTGTAGGGACAGAGTCTCACTATTTTATCCAGGCTGGTCTCAAACTCCTGGGCTTAAGCGATCCTCCCACCTTGGCCTCCCAAAGTGCTGGGATTACAGGCATGAGCCACTGTGCCCAGCCCGAATACATTATTTAAAACCAGTTGCAAAAAAGCAGTCATAGGCGGGGAGTGGAATGAACTGCTTACTCAGTTCAAAATAAGTGCCTAGGGCTCTGCACTGGGCCCCCAAATACAGTCTGCAGTACAGAGAGGAGTGTGGGCGGTGTGCTCCACAGCAATGCTGACCCCTCGTCCCTGTGCTTCTCCTCTCCCTGACAGTATTCCCACCCCGTGCCTGGACGGACGAAGACCCCTGGAGCCTCTGGAAGCATCGCAGTCTCAAGGGGCGGAACGCGGGGATCCTGGACACCCACCTGGCTGCGCCAGGCGAAGACTGCTCCACAGAGCAGCAGCACACAGCAGAGCCCTGTCTTCACCGTACTCATAACTGCTTCACAGCGTCCCTGAAATTCTGGGAGGAGAGAAAAAAGAGCTTGATCACATGGTGCGAGAGGTCCACGATGGCAAAAGAGGAGACGACAGCCGTTGTCCTGGCTGGCTTCCTCCAGCACCAGCCCCACGGGAGAAGCCAGACATGCATCTAGAAGAGGATTCTAGAAACTACGCATTATTTATTATGGTAAAATATACATAACACAAAGTTTACCACCTTAACGATGTTAAGCGCATAGCTGAGTCATGGTAAGCATTCACATTGCTGTGCAGCCACCCCACAGCCCATCTCCAGGACTTCTCCATCACCCCCAGCTGAACCTCTGCAGCCGTTAAAACTAACTCCCCATCCCCCCTTTTCCCCAGCAGCCACCCTGCTCCTTTCTGGCTCTATGAATCTTCTTACATCCCACAAGTGGAATCACTGTTTCTTATTTTGTGACCGGTTTATTTCACTTTGCAAATGTCTTCAAGGTGCATCCCTGCTATAGCATGTGTCAGAAGTTCCTTCTCTTTTTTTCTTCTTTTCTTTTTTTTCTTTGACAGGATCTTGCTCTGTCATCCAGACTGGAGTGCAGTGGCATGAACACGGGCTCACTGTAGCCTTGATCCCACTGGGTTCAACAGATCCTCCTGCCTCGGCTTCCCAAAGAGCTGGGACTTCAGGCATGTGCCACTGCACATGCTGTGTGCGTGTGTGTGTGTGTGTGTGTGTGTGTGTAGAGAGAAGGTGGGAATGCAATCCTAGATGTGTGTGTGTGTGTGGGTGTGTGTGTGTGTGTTTGTAGAGATAAGGTTTTTCTGTGTATAGAGACAAGGTTTCTGTGTGTGTGTGTGTGTGTGTGTGTGTGTACAGAGACAAGGTTTCAGTGTGTGTGTGTGTACAGAGACAAGGTTTCAGTGTGTGTGTGTGTACAGAGACAAGGTTTCAGTGTGTGTGTGTGTACAGAGACAAGGTTTCTGTGTGTGTGTGTGTATAGAGACAAGGTTTATCTGTGTGTGTGTGTGTGTGTGTGTGTGTGTGTGTGTGTGTGTAGAGAGAGATAAGGTTTCTCTATGTTGTCCAGGTTGGTCTCAAATTCCTGGGCTCAAGTGACTCTCACTCCTCAGCCTCCCAACGTGCTGGGATTACAGGCGTGAGCCACCACCACGCCCAGCATTTTCCCTTCCTTTTTAAAGCTGAATAGTACTCCACTGTGTGGATAGACCACATTTTGTTTATCTGTTCATTCGCCAATGCTGGGAGATAATTTTGCACAGAGATCCCTGTGGGCGGAAGGGCTAGACCATTTCTGAGACTTCTTGGCGGCCCAGAGACCACAGTGTCCTGGCTTGGTTTCCTGGAAGGGAATTCCTGCCCTGGGCTTGACTAGATGGAGCCACATTCATGTGCTCTTGGACTTATGCAGCAGAAGCCGTGGGGATTTTATTGCCAGCACATTGCAGAGCCAGCCTGCCTCAGACTGCCCCGGTTCCTCCATGCAGGATGGAGCCTACTCCCCTGCCTGAGGGTCTCCCCACAAACCAGAGGCCCCCCTCCCCAGCCTCCGCCCCTCCCCACCGCTCTGCAGGAACATCTGTCTCCTTTTTCATAGACTGCAGCAGATCCGGCAACGTGCATATTTTCAGGAAGGAGGGGAGGCATCTGGTGTTTGGTCGGAAGACTCAGATCTTCCTGGACCCCAGAGCTCGAGTTTCCATCTGCCTCTCCCGGGTTACCCTGCCCTCGGCAGCTCAAAGTAGGTTAGTCGGTCGGGTGTTATTTTGCGGTCTGGCAGCCTGCTCTTCCTTCATCCACAAGGATTAAAGCACGGCATTTCTTCCCCTGACTCATTTCCCTTCAGTCACAACAACTTCAGGTCCCCCCTCCCCCTCCCACGAGCTCCTAAGACCCTGGCGGCTCAGGGGCTTCCAGGCCTGCCTCCCTGCCTGGGTCTGGCTCTGGATCTTCGGCTCCAGCCTTTGCGACCCCCGCAGTGCCCGGCGTCTCCCTGGAGTGTGCTCTTCGTGGGTCCCTTTCTCCGGGAGGAAGGAGCTGTGCTACTCACTGGCTCCAGGCAGTTTCGGAAGAAATCAGGAGTCCAGGTTGGAATCTTCTCATCACGGGACTTACTCCAGATCACCTCTCTATCAGCGTTCCTCAAATTTCCTGTTTCTCAAAACTTCCCAAAATTCCTCCTAAATTCCCCTCTTTAATTTTATCCCGTTACTTAACCTTCTAAAAACAGCTCATCTGAAACTCCTTCCCCGCTTCTCCCTGATGTTCATGTATTTCTAGGTTGGCCCACTCCTTACTCCTAGGCAAGCCCCAAGGATGGTGAGCACTCCCACCTCACAGGAATGCTGAATGAAACAGCCGGTGAGTGAGTCCAAGGAACCTGACCTTCATCCCCATCCACACCACCCAGCCCTCTTGACAGGCTCACGCATCCAGGCCTGGGATATCAGTTCGGTTGTTTTTTCCGGATGCCCCACCAAGTTACTGCTTGATTTTAAGAACTCAAAGTCTTCCTACATGGAATGCAATCCTAGATGGCGGGAAACGGCAGTGTGAAAAGTGCAGCATGGACACACCAGTGTTGCGCGAACATCCCCCTTTCTGGATAACCAGGGGTTGGGGGTACCTGTGGAGGAGGAGCAGGGTCTGGGGCTGGCCCACACACACCACCAACTGCATCCCACTCAACCCTTTTGCAACGAAACAATCTCAATAAGAGCTAAGGGAGCGGGAGCATCTTCCTGTCTTTGTTCCTCAGCGAATTAGAGACTTGTCTCTTCTCTTCCTCTGCCTCCCTGGACCTTCCTGCGCCTTGAGCTGATTCATTGCAAGCGAATCTCACCCCAGCAGGGCGATAGCTCTGTCCACATCAAGCAGAGGCCATTGGAGCAGCTGGAAAGGCCTAGTGGGTAAGAGATGACAAAGAAATGAGTCATCCAGCCAGCAGAAAAACAGTGCAGTCTGAAAACAGAAAGAGAGGAGAGGGAGGAAAAATGTGTCCTGTTTTGCCTTCACTGAAGAAGAGGTGGGCGTCGAGGTCTGGCGGCACTGCCAGGACGCAGAGCAGACTGAAAGCCAAAACTCGAGACTCAGACCCAGGACTGCAGGGTGTGGCCAGGGTGGACGTCGGGCCTCACCAAAGGGAGGTCCGCGAGTGCTCTGGCAAGGTCGGGGAGAGATGGCATTGGCAGAATGGATGGAAGAAGCCTTCGGAGGCTCGTTTTTATAAATACAAAGACTTGTGATTTTGTTCTGTGTTATCTTCCTTTTGCTATATTTAGTAGTTTCTCAATCATCAAAGAACTACAAAAACAGGCAGAGAAGAAGAAGGAAGGAAAGGGTCAGGAAGGGAGGCCCAGAAAAACAGAAAAGGAGAAAGAAAAAAGAAAGGAAGGCCCCAAGGTGGCTGACTTTTGCTGGGCTGGAATCCTGAATCACTGTAAGAGCAGAGAGGTGGAATGCTGGTCCCACGACCCCAAAGCCTCCCCTGTCAGGCCACCCTAGCACACAAAGTTATTTTTGCAGATTTGCCAAAGGCACCTTCTCTGTTGGATGAAGTTCAGCAAGGCACGGCAGGTTGACAAAGAATCTGTACGAATTAGAAGAACAGGGTCTGTGGGTTGGCCGAGAGAGTCCAGGCTGGATCTGAAGGATGTGTGGCCAGGCACCTGTGTGCCGGACACAGCGTGCGGATCTGTGCTCCGCTGGCCCTGTCTGCTTCCGAGCGGCGTGCATGTCCCACAGAGCCGCTCTGAGCTTCCTGGCTGGAAGCCATTTTTGGTCTGTTGACTGCAGCAACCAGAGTGACTCTGTTCCCCGGCCCTGCCAAACAACCTGTGAATGATGACTGTTCTCGGGGGAACGTGGGAACACTAGTCTGGTAACTAGGGATTGGGGTACCACACTGTTTAAGCGCACTTTCCTGGAAGATGGACTGTTTCCCAGAGCTAAGGATGCGTGCCGTTTTGGCTCAGAACACCAGAAAGGTGGTGTTCATTTCTGTGGTGGCCACATCGGGGAATGATGGTCAATGAGCACCAGTGAGTAACTGATTCTGGATTGGGCACAGCCCCTGGAAAGGTGGAGCTGGAGCAGGGACAGGGGAAAGTCGGTGGGGCGCTGTCTCAACGCCTTCCCCCTCTATCTTCCTCCTTCTGGCTCCATCTTCCCTCCATAAAAACCAGCTCCCAGGAAATGAACTGATCAACTCATTCACATAAGGTGAAGATGACTGAGCAAAACTTTTTTTTTTTTTTTTTTTTTTTTTTGAGACAGAGTGTCGCTCTTGTTACCCAGGCTGGAGTGCAATGGCACGATCTCGGCTCACCGCAACCTCCGCCTCCTGGGTTCAAGCAATTCTCCTGCCTCAGCCTCCTGAGTAGCTGGGACTACAGGCACACGCCACCATGCCCAGCTAATTTTTTTTGTATTTTTAGTAGAGACGGGGTTTCACCACGTTGACCAGGATGGTCTCGATCTCTCGACCTCATGATCCACCCGCCTCGGCCTCCCAAAGTGCTGGGATTACAGGCTTGAGCCACCGCGCCCGGCCTGACTGAGCAAAACTTAATGTGCTGTCCTTCCCCAAAAACATATATATTTTGTGACATAAAATCTGCTGCCAGCAATGCAGAACCAAGTGGTGGATGCTCCAGGGTTGCCTCTGGGGCTGACATCCTGTGGTTTCTGTTTTGTTGTGAGAACATGTGATACAGGGAGTGTGCACACGCGGTGTAAACTGGGAAACTCCTACAAATGGTGCTGTAGTTCCATTGTTTCGATTATATAGGAAAGTGAGGCTGCATGTGGTGGTTCAATGCCTATAACCCCAGCACTTTGGGAGGCCAGGGTGGGAGGATCACTTGAGCCCAGGAGTTCGAGACCAGCCTGGGCAACATACTGAGACTCTGTCTCTATTTATTTTCATATAAAAACATTTTTAAAAAATAGATTATATGGCCAGGCGTGGTGGCTCACGCCTGTAATTCCAGCACTTTGGGAGGTCATAGCAGGTGGATTCA